GTACAGAATACTGTGTACCTCATGTATTCTATACCAAATACTGTGTACCTCATGTATTCAGTACAGAATACTGTGTACCTCATGTATTCAGTACAGAATACTGTGTACCTCATGTATTTGGTACAGAATACTGTGTACCTCATGTATTCTATACCAAATACTGTGTACCTCATGTATTCTGTACCAAATACTGTGTACCTCATGTATTCAGTACAGAATACTGTGTACTTCATGTATTCTATACCATTTACTGTGTACCTCATATACTCTGTACCAAACACTGTGTACCTCATGTATTCTGTACAAACACTGTGTACCTCATGTATTCTGTACCAAATACTGTGTACCTCATGTATTCTGTACCAAACACTGTGTACCTCATATATTCTGTACCAAATACTGTGTACCTCATGTATTCTGTACGAAATACTGTGTACCTCATGTATTCTGTACCAAATACTGTGTACCTCATGTATTCTGTACCAAACACTGTGTAACTCATGTATTCTGTACCAAACACTGTGTACGTCATGTATTCTGTACGAAAAATACTGTGTCACGCATGTATTCTGTACCAAATACTGTGTACCTCATGTATTCTGTACGAAATACTGTGTACCTCATGTATTCTGTACCAAATACTGTGTACCTCATGTATTCTGTACCAAATACTGTGTACCTCATGTATTCAGTACAGAATACTGTGTACCTCATGTATTCTGTACCAAATACTGTATACCTCATGTATTCTGTACCAAATACTGTGTACCTCATGTATTCTGTACCAAACACTGTGTACCTCATGTTTTCAGTACCAAACACTTCTCCATACATTCTTGTTTCATCTTTAAGTGAAACCGTGACCATCCAGAAAAAACCAGCACAGGCAATGTTTTCCTGATAAGAATTTTCATTGATAGAGGTTTTGAGTTTGGTTCTAACAATTCGTTGTGCTACAGCCTGATTTATTTAAATAGGTACAAAGAGTGAATATTTCATTTCCATACAATTTCGTCAAGCGTCAGTAATGCATTTTGAAAGAGAATGATTACAAGCAGTAAAGAGATGGCAGATGTGGGGTTTCCATGGACGAATATAGCATGTCTCGATATCGACAGGAATTCTTCTGTGATTTTACATGCATGAAGGGTTTAATGACTTTTTAAAGCATTAAATTATAAAGTCAATAACACATATCTTCATAATTCTGTTGGCAAAATAGCAGGCTTTCGATGTGATCAATGCATGTCTTAAAAAGCGAAGTGGCAGTTAATTTTTATAATTGATGGCTTTGTAATATTGTTATTCAAACATAATTATAATATTTAAAATCTGGGTAAAATAGTCTTCAAAAATGTTTTCGGTTTCTTTTTTTCAAAGTCTGTTAGACAGAAGATTAAACCGGAACACCAGACCTTGTATGTGGTTAAGGTCTGAAATGAAATATGAAAACAGCCGTGATCGAGCAAGAAATAGTGACGATGTTACTAAGGTATCAGTTGAACGATGCTTTTCATGCCTTCGTCGCTGTTTTCAGTGGTAGATATAAACAACGGTTTAAGTAAACATGACAATCCCCTAGCATTAGGAGACTTCGTTTCATTAAGTTCATCCTTATTAAAAAAAACAAACATGATCAGGGATGATGGCAACGAATCATCCGTACACTTAAGTTTATTGAGAATTGTTAGTGAGCTACAAACAATAAAAAGATCTGGGGCGATTAATGGTAGAAATATATATGTTAGTTATGGACAATAACTTACTGAATTGGTGAAAACCGAAGATGACGTGAAGTGTAATGAGGGACGCTTCCATTCGGAGAAATATTTGTCTGACTTAATATCCTGTTAAAGTAAAAGGTAAGATAACCAAAGCATTTGATGCAGGTCTCTGACGTAGTTCATGCTTTTTATCATATTTATCGCTTCTGTTTTTCTTCGTTATAATTATATCATACTTTGTTATTCTATATATATGCTTTTGTGATTCTGACTCACCATTACATGTTTACACTGTATTCTCGTCATATCTTACCATACTTAGATAGGTGAAAATATTGCCTCCTATACAGCTTCTAATTTCTACATTAACTAAGGCTGTATTGTCTAACATAACGTGTGGTAATTTAAGACGAGAAAGAAAGATTATACATTACTGTGTCTGAAAAATTAATATTTTGATGAATTCACGGTGTTCCATGTCAAACCCAAGAGGTTACAGCAAAGTGATGATACTTAATTGTCTGTATATATTCTGCTATCTAGCGTAAGAAATATAATTAATTTTAGTATTCTTTGATTGCTTGTGCGGATGTTTACAAATGGATTCGATTTACACCGTTGATATTTAACACAATTTATCTATAACATGACAAAATAAATTGATACAATTAATAAAATGCATTTGGAAAATAGTTTGAAAAAATGAGAAATGAAATGTTTTATCTGGTTTTGCACAGAAATTGTTGACACGCCAAGAAGCGATTGTATTATCTACCTAACATGGAAGGTTCACTCTTGGTGCACTTAACAGAAGTATTAAAGACCTTGCGTTAGCATGGAGATAAAACTTGATGACGTACTAGAAGAGTTGTAATACCTATGAACTGTGTTAGATAGGTTTACGTGCCTTTGAATAGTAAATCTGTTTATAGAATTTGTGATTTACGATACTTTAGATATTGTACTAGATATGTATAATACAAAACAGGACAGGGAACCCTACCTTTTATATTATGTTTGTGAATTTCTAACAATTAGATTCTTAGTTTTTGTTACTTTCCCATTTTTGTTACTTTACCCATTTTTTGTTACTTTACCCGTTTTTGTTACTTCACCAGTTTTTGTTACGTTTTTGTTACTTTACCCATTTTTGTTACTTTACCCGTTTTTGTTACTTCACCAGGTTTTGTTACTTCACCCGTTTTTGTTACTTTACCGTTTTTGTTACTTTACTGTTTTTGTTACTATACCCGTTTTTGTTACTTTACCAGTTTTTTGTTACTATACCCGTTTTTGTTACTTTACCCGTTTTTGTTACATTACCAGTTTTCGGTACTTTACCCGTTTTTGTTACTTTACCGTTTTTGTTACTTCACCAGGTTTTGTTACTTCACCAGTTTTTGTTACTATACCCGTTTTTGTTACTTTACTATTTTTGTTACTATACCCGTTTTTGTTACTTTATCCGTTTTTGTTACTTTACCCGTTTTTGTTACTATACCCGTTTTTGTTACTTTACCCGTTTTTGTTACTTCACCAGTTTTCGTTACTATACCAGTTTTTGTTACTTTACCCGTTTTTGTTACTTTACCGTTTTTGTTACTATACCCGTTTTTGTTACTTTACTAGTTTTTGTTACTTTACCAGTTTTTGTTACTTTACCCGTTTTTGTTACTTTACTATTTTTGTTACTTTACCAGTTTTTGTTACTTTACCAGTTTTTGTTACTTTACCCGTTTTTGTTACTTTACCGTTTTTGTTACTATACCCATTTTTGTTACTTTACCAGTTTTTGTTACTATACCCGTTTTTGTTACTTAACCAGTTTTTGTTACCTTTGTCACTAATGACATATCCCTATAGTTGATTTTGTTTACAGATATTATTTACAGAATCATGTTAAAAATTGAATTGATGTTTTCTTGAAGCCTTATTTATTTGTCGAGTAATGAATTCTCACAATGAAACACATAAATCACTGACTTAAACGTGTAAAAGTCACACATGTAAAATCAGTTTCTATAGTAACAAGTAATTGATACCGTCAAAGACCGACTGGTATTATAGAGCTCTCTGACCTTCGGATTTCAAATGTTATTAGGGACGGAAGCATCCACAATCCTGAACGATACTTGGAATATCCAAATCGGCTCATATAAATGTAAAGAAAACAAATTAAAAGAGACAAATACCAGCGCAATATTTTACATTTTCACTGAGAGGAAAAAAAAAATGGAAATTTTAGAACGTTGATAAGGATAAATGAATTCCAAACATCGCAAAGTTCATTATGGTATTGCTATACCGATTAAAGTTTCAGTATGAAAGGGCGCTTTTTAACAGGCACAGTTGATTAATCAACACACACACTAGATGTGTACTACACAAGGATGACACACAGAAGAGAACACGTACTTTCTATCTACAGATCATAATGTAAACAACTTTAGGCAGATTTACGCTATATTAACTCCATTCCCCCAACATGTACCTCAGTGAACTCGTTGTAAACTAGTAAGTTGCGCCTCTTAACTGTCTGTAAGGTGCGCACTCTTTACCTGTTCGGATGTCACACATTATCTATGAGCATGGGGAGCAAGCCGTCTAAAACTAGACATCCCGGTAAGGTTTGATATGCTCTAAAACCTTAGCGCAATGTTCGAAATAACTTTATTTTCTTACCACAAGGGATAAAAGCAACAAAGAAACGAACTCATTTTATAAGTATAACTTCTAAAAGTAACAAAGAGATTGACTCATGTTATTAGTGTAACTTCTAAAAGCAACAAAGAAATTGACTCATTTTATTAGCGTTACTTCTAAAAGCAACAAAGAATTTGACTCATTTTATTAGCGTAACTTCTAAAAGCAACAAAGAAATTGACTCATTTTATTAGCGTTACTTTTAAAAGCAACAAAGAGATTGACTCATTTTATTAGCGTAACTTCTAAAAGCAACAAAGATATTAACTCATTTTATTGGTGTAACTTTTAAAAGCAACAAAGAAATTGACTCATTTTATAAGCGTAACTTCTAAAAGCAACAAAGAAATTGACTCATTTTATAAGTGTAACTTCTAAATGCAACAAAGAAATTGACTCGTGTTATTAGACAACTTCTGTGCAAAACCAGACATTTTCTAGTACTGATATTATAAGAACTCACAAATATTTTGTAATAAATCAACACAGAAAAATCACTGTCCATTTATAATTATGTCACTAGCACTGTGTTTGGTTGAATAACCTATCATATTGTTTTCCTAATAAAACTAGTTGCAGCAACCGGACGCCCAGAACCGGCCCGAGCATTAGTTTTACCCCGTGGTCAAGTGTCCAGACCGCGGTCGATATCTCCGCCACCCGTAGGTATGTATACTGGAGCCGTATATTCCGTGTAACATGTGTTTGTATAATTCTGGTCATTGTAAAACCTCGGCAGTGATGATCACATTCAAGTCCAGGTCAGCTGTTTATTACAGAAAAATATCAGAACTTGGTAAGTTCCTGGTTTATTTACAGCACCAAACAGAAGCATGATGTTAAATCTTAAAGATAGGGATGATTCTGTTGTCGTTAACATTGGCAGTGAATGCAGGTGATCATAAATTAAGTACTAAATACCTATATAAAAAGTACAACCCGTGTGAACAAATATTTCCAATTTCCGCAACATAATTCTTTTTCTTTGATTAATATATTTCAACAAGAAACAAATTCAGCGATCCAGTGTTTAATCAGAGTTACAATGTCTGTCCAGTAAAGTAAGGTTTGTTCATATGAAAGTGCTGAGGAATTCTCCTTTCAGTCATTTCTGTTTTGATTGAAATACATTTATCGAGATAACAAACATGTCTTTCAGTAATTTCTCTTATGATTGAAATACATTTATCGAGATAACAAACATGTCTTTCAGTCATTTCTGTTATGATGGAAATATATCTATCGAGATAACAAACATGTCTTTCAGAGGGAATAAAACATCCCTCGGAGGATTGTGATACACTGGCTACCAATACTGTTGTCTAACATGGCACACTTTTGATAGTTACATTTACTTTTACAATTTGAAATGGACCATCTCCTACTTATTAGTTAGAAACGTGCCTGCACAATGTAAACATAACAGGTAGCATGTGGCATGTGTTTGATAGCTCTCACATTTTGACAATATTGAGTACGAATTGAAAACAGCTCAAAACCTAAAGGGCAAGTCCGTCAGAGAAATCTTTGAAACACTTCTGTGTTGGTCAAAAATCATTCATATTTGATTGTTTTCTCCCACACTTTTTACACAGCTGACATAATTGCGCGCATGCATACTCTGTTGTTGCTGGTGTCACGGTGAATACTTAAACAGGCAAAACCTTGTGTTTTCATTTTAAATAATTTTGCTCTTTCAAAATTGCACTAAAGATGTTAAACCTTTTTCTCCCACCCTGAAGACCAATGCAGTGTTTATCATAAATGATGATGCCATTTTTGCGCGTGTGAACAGGAATGACAGTTACCTTGTCCCGGATAATGTATATCGTCTCGGTCCATGGAGACTTAATTGACGTATATACACGTATACCTGATGAGAGGGAAACCCAGACCAACCGATGATGACGCTGAAATCAGAAGGATGCTCTTGGACTGTTGTCTGTTCATTGACATTCGCTTTTAAAACTATGGAAATATGTTCAGTTGTATTGTGGATTTCATTTGTTTTTGGTGCTCCATTCAGAGGAAAAAGATTATGTATAACGCTAATAGGTTAAAAAAATTAAAAACAAAAACGTTAAGAGAGTAACATAACAACGTCACCCTTCAGGAAATCAAAAACATCAATGAAGTGTGACATAACCTTGTCAAACTCAGGAAATCAAAAACATCAATGGAGTGTGACATAACCACGTCAAACTCAGGAAATCAAAAACATCAATGAAGTGTGACAAAACCACGTCAAACTCAGGAAATCAAAAACATCAATGAAGTGTGACACAACAATCGACACAGAATATTGTGATATTAGAAAACTCAATAGTTAATATCCTACCTCTCTGTGTAGCTGAGCTGGTCATCTGTAACATTAGTTTGTTCAATTATGATGCTTGACCAGGGATTAAGTAGTGTCTTATGATTATTCGTTAATTTGCAAAAAAAATTATATCATCGTTTGATTTTATTTCTCCTTCCACTGCAGCAGCCAAACGAGCGGTAAAGCGTTTTACCAAACATGCCTTCCCTGGGCCTAGTAAGTAGTGCAAAACAACACCGCATACAAAGTCATAACTAAGAACATCTCTTTGTTCTCATAAAACCTTGCTTCCTTGTAGGGAAATTTATTTGTCAAACTTTATCGAGTTTAATGAAAATTATAAATACACTATTTTCTCCTATTATTTAACACCAATCATAATTCCTTTAATGCAACCTATAAGGGAGGGTAAATTTCATTTAATCCTCTTGGTTTCTTTTATCATACTGTACTGTTGTAAGTGTACGTTGTGTCAAGTTCGTCCATTGTGAGCGCCACTGTTAAGTCACTTATATGGAGGGATGTTTTCGTTTATATGTGATCCCGATGATTTTATATAAAACTAAATTATCACTATTTTTAAATTGATTCAAAAGGTCAATATTCAGGAAACCGAAATCTGTCTCGTGCTGTTAGGTCTGAATTGTTATTTAATATTATTTATATAATTATTTGAAAATATTGTATAGCTGTCCTCTATATATTTCATAGATTTTTAAATGTATATTTTCTCTTGTTTTCAGAAGCGCTCAGAAGGTTCCGCCACATAGCTTATGCTGCTTGGTTTATATCAATACTTAGAGCTGCAGCACGGAAGGTAGACTAACACACTAACACAAGAGAGAGAACTGTATCAGTGGCGCGCATCTAACTTTTATATTTCGGTATTTGTAATGCACAGACACCAGTGTGTATTTGATAGGAAACAATGACGAATTTAACATATAAAACTTAAAATGGTAAATTGAGAAAAGAAAAATGTATTCAAACATGTTGTTATTGCATACAAATTTCCAATCAGAATAAAAGTGTTTGAATACTTTTGAAGTCATCAACAGATACAAAATACAACGTAGCCTTAAGATGGATGTCTTATCAATATTGTTGATAAACAACAAAGTACAAGTAAATAAGTACGCATGACACAGGACTCGGTACGTATATATAGGGATACTAGTTCTCTCACGTAGAAGTGTTACCAGTATTAATTTACTTTTGATAATAACAACACCTTTCAGTGATTCGTTCGTTGGCACGCTTTGAATTTATTGATGTTTTCTAATGGCAATCTAACTGAATCCTTGCATATGTCTAAATTTAGATTTGTCTTCATCTGTTAGTCCGAGTACAGAACGAAATTTGTGTTACTAGTAAAAACAAACATCCTGATAGTAGTTTTGGATTCTGCATCTAACTTATCAATTAGATTATCTCTAGATGTAACCTGTTCCTCTACAAATTTATATAAATACTACCGTAATATATACAATGCTTGTTAAAACATACATTGACTAATATGTATACAATTCCTGATATCTGTTCCTCATTATACTAACTTACACGTCTTTTACACTATAACTCTCACTCTTTTACACTATATTACTCTTTTACACTATAACACCAACACTTTTACACTATATTACTCTTTTACACTATAACACTAACACTTTTACACTTTATTATTCTTTTACACTATAACGCTAACATTACACAATTTATCTACTCGTATTTCTGTTACTCTTACTACTATTTTACACAAAACACACTTGTTCTTCACATACTTAAGCTTGAATTAAACCATTTTGGATTATCATTACGTGATTATTTTCCTAAATTGCTTATTGAATGACTATTCAACCATGCCCTGTATCCTTAACTTCAGAGGGATTTGCTTAATCACCAAAAATTGTTGACATTGTCAGCAGTTGTTTGCAGTTGTTTCCACTTTACGTTGTAACAGATCCATATTCTCATTTAATCGTTCCGAAACGTTCCTACTTTAAGAGCGTTAGAGAATACAGAATAGAGTCAAAGTCAGCAAGTACATTCCCTCTTACCAGTGTAAAAGAGAGAGATTCAGTTCCATAAGTAAATTCCCTCTGACTAGGGCGAAAGAGAGAGATTCAGTTCCATAAGTAAATTAATTCCCTCTGACCAGTGTGAAAGAGAGAGATTCAGATCCATAAGTAAATTCCCTCTGACCAGTGCGAAAGAGAGAGATTCAGTTCCATAAGTAAATTAATTCCCTCTGACCAGTGTGAAAGAGAGAGATTCAGATCCATCAGTAAATTCCCTCTGACCAGTGCGAAAGAGAGAGATTCAGTTCCATAAGTAAATTCCCTCTGACCATTGTGAAAGAGAGAGATTCAGTTCCATAAGAAAATTCCCTCTGACCAGTGCGAAAGAGAGAGATTCAGTTCCATAAGTAAATTCCCTCTGACCAGTGTGAAAGAGAGAGATTCAGTTCCACAAGTAAATTCCCTCTGACCAGTGCGAAAGAGAGAGATTCAGTTCCATAAGTAAATTCCCTCTGACCAGTGTGAAAGAGAGAGATTCAGTTCCATAAGTAAATTCCCCTCTGACCAGTGTGAAAGAGAAAGATTCAGTTCCATAAGTAAATTCCCATTGACCAGTGTGAAAGAGAGAGATTCAGTTCCATAAGTAAATTCCCTTTGACCAGTGCGAAAGAGAGAGATTCAGTTCCACAAGTAAATTCCCTCTGACCAGTGTGAAAGAGAGAGATTCAGTTCCATAAGTAAATTCCCTCTGACCAGTACGAAAGAGAGAGATTCAGTTCCATAGGTAAATTCCCTCTGACCAGTGTGAAAGAGAGAGATTCAGTTCCATAAGTAAATTCCATCTGACCAGTGTGAAAGAGAGAGATTTTAGTTCCATAAGTAAATTCCCTCTGACCAGTGCGAAAGAGAGTGATTCAGTTCCATAAGTAAATTCAAAATATCAGTGTCAATGTATAAGGGAACATATAGTAGTCATTAGAATGTGACAATACAGAAGGTCAAAACACAAGGTCAATATGGTACAGAAGGACTGGCTTAGGCATGTTACTCAAACGTTGCCCAATATGATTTCGTTTGCTAACTTTGTATTTTATTGTATATGATGGATATTTAATTATCTACATCAACACTTGGTGTATTTATCATCGCCCAGTTGTTGAAGATATCCTCTCCTATTGAAACCGTACGACTTCGTAATGAAAGTGATAATATATTTGTTGTTAGAAAAACACATCAGCTCCCGTGAAATTACATCATATTTCAAATGTTTAAAAAAGTGAAATATAGACGAATTTCCAAAGAATTTTGATGCCAAAACGATTATTAATTAACATGACAATAGAACATGGAAATAAAATGGTTACGAAAGGGGTATCTACATGTGACGTCACAATATCTGTTGGTTAAGTGATTTTCCTTACATAACCATCAACCAAACAGATGATTTGTTTTCGTCGAAACATTTGACCTTTATTTTAATTATACATGAAGTATGAATTAATGATAAAATATGGGATACTTGTTCTTTGTAGTCACATTCTTAGATACTTTTATCGCGGACGACGGTGAGCGATGTACGATAGAATAAATAATTCAGGCAAAAGCCGTGTGTTCTTTTACCTTGAGATGTCATTGATGTAAGAGGAATTAACTGGTACTCAGGATAAGAAAAGGTTACTCCTAACTTGTCTGGAGGTTCTCTTGCCTTACTTAGTCCCGGGGGTATCAGACAAGCTTTTGGGGTGATTCGATGCTTAGTGATTTGAGTGAGAACTTACTAAAACAGAATTTAATTAGCTGAAAGCCATGTAATGTAAATTTGTATCTTTGGTTAAGTAGGCTGTGTAGGTAGGTCTTGGTGATGTATGAGGTTAATCAACACGGGCCTGAAGTAGTAGCTTGGACAGGTAACTGTCACTTCTTACGATTTACGTGTAGAATTGGGTATTGCTGGTAGCAGGTTAATGTGATTAAATGAGATTAGTTTTTAGAGTGTAATGTTAAATATGTACAGAACGTAGATACGATTGTTTGAAGTAATTGTTTAAAAGTAAGATTTCATAAATGTAGGTTTCACCATGTTGTTACTGATGTTAGATATCAACTACATGAAATTTTTATGTATCAGCTCACTACTTCATGTTTTAAACCAACTTCTAATTAGACGTCCGCCAAGAGGGCACCTTGCAGTTATGTAACCTTTCATTTAGGATGATATTGATGAATTTGTATGTTTGTTTTCTTCTGTTAATATGATCAAATAAACAATTCTGATAATGATTATATTTGATTTGCAAACTGTAGTGAACTTTGGATAATTAATATTGAAGTTTTTATACAAGTAAATGATACATGTTGCTATTAGATGTGAAATGTATGTATTGCTGAAGCTATTTCTGATTGTAATTGCTGCGTTTAAACTGGCATTCACCAGACTTGCATTCATCGATAAGTTCTTCTTCCAATTGGCTAAAGATAATAGTGTGATTCAGGTTTAGGAATCAATTAGAATTGATGGTTAAATTTACTTGAATTAACCTAAAGCAAAGAAGAAATTAGAAATAATATGGATTCTTGTACGTTTCATTTGCAAGATTTATATGCAAATTATTACTGTACTGCAATAATGTCTGATGAATTCTGTAAAGAAGCAAATTATCTTCAGTTTTTGTATTTATTTATATAATTTCAATGCACAGAATGTTGGTAATCGTCCTAGTAGCGTGTTCCTGTTTGGCATCATTCTGAAAGAGATCGTCGCTGCATTACATAGAATATACCTCAATGTAAGTACAAAAAGTTAATAGATGGTCGTCTCTGTACATAGAATAAACCTCAATGTAAGTACAAAAAGTTAATAGATGGTCGTCTCTGTACATAGAATAAACCTCAATGTAAGTACAAAAAGTTAATAGATGGTCGTCTCTGTACATAGAATATACCTCAATGTAAGTACAAAAAGTTAATAGATGATCGTCTCTGTATATAGAATATACCTCAATGTAAGTACAAAAAGTTAATAGATGGTCGTCTCTGTACATAGAATATACCTCAATGTAAGTACAAAAAGTTAATAGATGGTCGTCTCTGTATATAGAATATACCTCAGTGTTTTTATAAATTGCGTTTAGAAATTGTCAACATTTTTGATAGAATATGTATGTACAAATATAAAAAAAATATATACTTTTACCCGAATATAGTCGTTTTTCAATATTGGTACAAATATACGAAAGAAATTGTTACCATGGTAATGAAATATTTCCGGTACGCTATGTTAAGACAGTATAACAGGCCAACTGCTGTGTTTAATGCTGTGTGAGAATAGGATGATAGATTTGTAAATCTAGACACTATTTGACCCACTTATCACTGGGACTTGAGTCGTTTTATGCCAAGCTTATTAATAAAACTGATTTTCAACAATATTGTTATGGGCAATCTTTTGTGATCTGCTTTCAGCCTAGTGGTAATATATACCCTGTGCTGGCGGACGTGGTAAGTCCTCAGGCTTACGATCTGACGAACCTGCTGCGTGACAGGTCCGGCGACAAGGAGACCAGCGTAATGCTGCAGGAACTGCAATACGTTGTCGAGAATCTTATTTATCACATTACCGAAATCATGGTCAGTTTAAAGTTTAATAACCTCAACAAAATCAATACAGCAGATTCGATTTGAAATACTGTGCACTCGTTTGAAGTATATCACACAAAACATGTAGTATATAATTGTTGATAAGAATACGCTTTGATGAAGTCGATCTGCACTAATAACAGATCCTTTGCCTTGTGTTTAGGTTATTCAACCCTACGTCAATAATGAAATATCCCATAGTACCTTTTTTGAGGTTAAGGTCGTCGGACTCATTGATATTGTTTGGTTATATATATATAATTTGTCCCAGTAATGATCATAATCACATTTTATTTTCTATGCGGATACAGTGGATAGATTGTGTGGTTTTATACTTATAATTTGTCCTAATAACGATCACATTACATTTTTATATCTATGTGGGTACAATGTAATAGAGTTGTTATTGCGATGGATTGTGTGGTTTTATATTTATAAATTGTCCTAATAACGATCACATTACTTTTTTATTTGAGTACAATGTAAATTAGTTGTCATTAAGATGGATTGTCAAACGACGTTTTCATATGAAGATTTCAATGTTAACGTCAGGTAGTTTTTTAAGATGATGATGTAAATACAATAAAACTTCTCCGTTTTCACTCTGATCTAAGCATGATCAAATATCACTGATTATATATAATCTCTGGTCTTTCTAATAGAAATGTTAAGATGTTACTGATTTTTTTCTTTCCTCAATCAATATTTTTAGTTAGCAATACTAAGATATCAGTAATTATCAGAAAGAAATTGAATTTACAGCCAAGCTCTGGGGTATTGGGCACTCATCGGAAATCTGCAGTGTTTGAACTAGTCCGTAATGGGAAACGCTTTCCTGACGGTTACTTCTGGCAGGCGGAACTGGTAAGTCATTTCCAGTTCTACTTTTACTTCCTGTTAAGATACAAAAAAAGGACAAAGTAAATGTAACATTTACAGGGAGAACTAGAATAATGCATAAAATGAGTTCAAACACATGAAATTATCTGCGGGAAATGTGTCGTTACTGATGTTACTGAAGCGTCTACAAATGTGAACAATTTTTTGAATACTTTAGTTGTCGAAATAAGTTTGTTTTAGACTTCTTCGGGAGAAATCAGGTTGTGCTAAAGACCTAAAAGTGGACAAGAATGTAAAGGACCATGTTTTTAGTTAATTTATTGTTTATCTATTTACAACATCTTATTTATATTTATTGATCCCTTTCCGTCCTATGTTCCCACAAAACACTATAATCTCTTGTACATCAGCCGCTTATCACCATCTTTTCCTTCAACGAAATCAATATGTACAGCTTTCCACGAAGTTGTATGATAAGCGTGATGATTTAAATTTCTCTGATTGTGAATTTTTTTATTTATGGGTAGCAGCATCACCGCGTCCCCGACCTATATCGCATTTGATTCGATATTCAAGGGCCTTTTCCCATTGTCACGATTTTTGCACAAGAAGTCGTCAACTGACGAACCAACTTGTAACGCAGCGTTTCAAACGATGCAGCTTGATGAGAAAGATTGGTAAACTGGACGTGATTGATGTTCGTTAGTTTGCCTATTGGTTCTGTGGTTGTATATCTTGTTCTCATTAGAGAACGTGACACTACTTAAATTCCCAATATTTACATGGCAGATGTCGTCGATGAAGCAAAAGATGCTTATTCTTCCGAAACACCTAGTATTTTTTTTATCCTCGTATGTGTTTAAGAGTCTCCGTGTAGATCTTTATTTATTCGTATTTTGCACAAGTTTGATTAAATTTGAGTTTGAATTATGATTATGTTGACATATTGTTTTCGGTAGGATTTTAGCACGTCAAATAGAATATATTATAATTAATTAATTAATTACAGAACACGACCTTAGTGCATAAATTTTCTGTTATAATTGCTTAAACTAAACTGTAGGTAATGCAATGTCTGATAAAGTTTGATTGGTGCATTAAGTCTCCTTTCGCTTACAGGATAGACTGCAGTTCACGGATAACGGACGAACAGCAAATATTGGTGATGCGGAGGCCTTTCTCCTCATTGTAGGAATCTTCATTTCTAGGAGTTTGGTGACAACTGTAAGTAGATGTTATGGTGGAGACATTTTACATGTAAAGGTTGAGGGGACATTTGTATGTTTAAATGATGGTGAAGGGACATTTTTATTTACATGTAAAGGTTGAAGGACATTTGCATGTTTAAATGATAGTGGAGGGATATATATATCGCTAGAGTGCTTCCGCTTTTTACTGTTATGAATTTAGAGAAAATAAAGTGAACTTTTGCATTGTTATGCTACGCACTTCAGGATCCAAACTCAAAGTCTATACAAAAAGATCATGTTAAAAAATGTATGTTGATAATCAAAACGAAAGTGCAAAATGAATAACCGTAAATGCAAAATACAAATTTGGAGATGTATGGACTATTTCACCTCCCTCTCTAGATTGATATGTATCAAAATTGAAGTCCTTAAGTTTGTTAATCCTGTGATTACTGACCATGGCGCCTCTCAATCTAAATTTTGACATTTCTTTCGGTCACTGTGGATTTTACAGTCACCTCATAGGCTTCAAAATGTAGGCCCTTAGCGTCACTGACGAGTTCTAGAAGGATGAGACAGTTGTAGGATGCAGTTTTCTTTATTTCTTGGCTCTACTTATATCATTTTAATATTTATTAAAGGGTGTTATTTACATGATTGACTTTTGTACAACGAAACGACGTACTCGCGCCTTTCCTTTAATCATTGTAACAATCATGAAATAAAGGGTTTTGAAAAACTGATTGTATTTGACTGAAGACGACAAACAGCTCTTACCTTCCAGAATATACGCGAGAAAATATCCGAATTCTAGGTGGAGGCTGCAGTTAACACGATATGTGTATGGCTTTAGGCGTAACTTTTAATTTGTTTTACTCATATTACTTTTAAATCTTATGGTTTCCTCACTTAAGAAAACTTGTACTTTCTGATTCTAGAAATTGATTCCTTCAGATATAAACTATTTATTTCCAAAATGATTTTCATTTCTGGGTCTTCGTTGTAAATTGTTTGAATAGAAAGCTGCATTGAAGCGAGTTTCCCTTACATGACATTAAATCTTAAGTGAATTTAACACAAAATGATTGTTTGATCAAACGTTAAATGTATGAAGGATGTATATTTCGTGACTTGCGTGTCTTTGTATAATCTGCAACAACATTTTTGTGTAATACTTTACTTTTGTTTTCTAGATACCTACGCACATAGTGTACAACTGAAGCGATGATGTGAATATTTGAGTTTGGGGGATGGGGTCATTTAATCACTTGTTTTGTATGTAAATCATTCAACTTTAGTAGTTTTGAGAATCTATGACAACACCTTTGTGACACTCATTGACTTGACATTTTGTACCCGCCCTCAGTATCAGCGATATATTAATGCATGATCAACAGTTTTTCCAGAGCCGTGATTGTGTTTTCCTTTTGATCTTTCTATAGCTGCTGATGAAACCGGTAGACTATGGACTGTCATCTCAACCTCTAACTGATGTAGCAGAGAGAAACCTGAAAATCCTTGCCACTACCATGTTATACCTTGTAAGACGAGTCTCTACGTTACGTGGCAAAGCTATGCTGGTATGTCTTCACACAACACGTGTAACGTTACGTGACAAAGTTATGCTGGTATGTCTTCACACAACACGTATAACGTTACATGGCAAAGCTATGCTGGTATGTCTTCACACAACACGTGTAACGTTACGTGACAAAGTTATGCTGGTATGTCTTCACACAACACGTGTAATGTTACGTGGCAAAGCTATGCTGGTATGTCTTCACACACCATGTATAACGATACATGGCAAAGATATGCTGGTATGTCTTCACACAACACGTGAAACGTTACGTGACAAAGTTATGCTGGTATGTCTTCACACAACACGTGTAACGTTACGTGATAAAGCTATGCTGGTATGTCTTCACACAACATGTATAACGTTACGTGGCAAAGCTATGCTGGTATGTCCTCACACACCACGTGTAATGATACATGCCAAAGCTATGCTGGTATGTCTTCACACACCATGTATAACGATACATGGCAAAGCTATGCTGGTATGTCTTCACACAACACGTGTAACTTTACGTGGCAAAGCTATGCTGGTATGTCTTCACACACCATGTATGATGTTACGTGACAAAGCTATGCTGGTATGTCTTCACACATCATGTATAACGTTGCATGACAAAGCTATGCTGGTATTTCTTCATACACCATGTATAATGTTACGTGACAAAGCTATGTTGGTATGTCTTCACACACCATTTATAACAAGGGAAGGCTATGCTAGTATGTCTTCACACATCACGCACTTGTTTAGACGTTATTTTTCATACAATTAGAAATAACTTTAGTAATATCAGTTTTGGATATAGAGATTGTGAAGTCAGTAAATAGCTAAGGATGTTTTATTTAAGCATTTAAGTTGATGTTTAGGTAAAGATATCGATATTTTCCCTCATATGAGTAACAGAAAACAACATACACAACCAGAAAATGCCTTTAATAATAAAAACATCAGTGAACAGTACATTAAAGAAGTAACTATGGATTTGACATAAGTAACCAAATATTTTCGTCTATATTGAAGCATAAATTTTCTGTATGATCGAAATGGCAATCTCTCTAACATAACATGATATATTGCCGAAGCTTTGTCTGAAGTAACAACAATGATTTTTTGTTATAGCCACCACCAGGAGAGATATCGAAGTACTTGTACACTGATGAAGAAATGCGACCGATCTACAGTAAATTAGGACGTTCATTCAACTATTCTGAGGTAAGTAGTCGCTGGCTCTTAGGGCACATTAGTATCTGAGCATTTTCTTTCTTGTATAAGGGAGATGATAGTTAAAAGATATTGACCATGTGTAAAATACAAACTGATAGTACAACAAACGTTTTTGTCAACATTGTAGATAAATATCTTACTTTAGTTTTGAAGAATAGGAATCGTAATTGTAAATTGATTACTTGCCAAAGTTATAGTGCTTTGAATACTAAATAGCAACGATGTAATTAAATGCACATAACTTTTACAACTTGCAATATAACATGATCAAATCGAAAAAAATACAGTTGTTCAGAGTGCACTTTAAAATATGTCAGTGTTGAATACCCGAATATTTCAATATACATAACGTAAACAAGAGTAAAGCGGACACGAGCTCGATAAAATTAATGTAAATCTTGGTTAATCCAAGTAAGTAATGTAATGTTCCCATAGGAGAACAAGGGAAACAAAGACCGAAATCCATCAAATATACGAAAGCGAAAACTGATAGCCGCGAAAAAATATCTGTTTAAAGTATTTCCGATTTGATTGTTTAATATGATGGATGTGACATGGATTCCTGTGGTGGTTTGACTGTGATGTATATTATGTACATCGTGTTATTGATGGGGACGTTGTTTTGGTTATAACAGAGGCACCACTATTTCCTTTGTCTACGATACAGCACAGCAGACATTTATATTCCACAGTTAACACGATAGTGTGATAAATCCTTCCTTTATTTTGCTGTTAGATCAGTGCTTCATCTGATACAACCTGACAACTTTCGGTGTCGGTGAATGTTAATCTCTCTTCTGAAACAGAGATCGTCACTGATCCTTATATACTGATAGCCATAGTATGCACAATTTGTATTAAGATAATTCCTAAATCCACTTTATGACAGAGCTGATATCATCCCTCACGTAAGTGATCGTTCTGTAGGTTTTCTGATGAAGTTTCGGCACAATCGTTCTACTTTCTGTTAGGTTGTCAAAGTTTTGTTTTGAAAACAAGCAGCAGTCAAAGATTGACTTAAGATAGCACTAAATAACTCAGTCTAAATGACTTTCACTGTGACATATGGGAAGGAATTGGAACGCTGGATTAATCTTTTTTTTTATCTCATTTTGACAATTATGACGTAAATCATTTTAAACGGTCTATTAGAAAATACAAACATAGAAGAGTGCACTTGAGGAGAAAGGGATGGGATTCATCTTTAATGCATTTCTATGTCAACTATCAGACTGAACGATGACGGTAAACCCATCCAAACCTTCAAGTCCAATCTGGAAAGACACCTAAAACAACTGTATTTCAATAGCAGTGTCTCGGCTGATGCGTAGAAATAACACGGACTAATCATGTCTGACGTATCATCGTTCTACCACGATTTACACTTTTATTCGGTTTGGTGAAAATTTGATTTGATTTCTTGTTTGCTTTAGAACGGGTGTCAATTTCAATACCCCTAACTTTTATTTGAACCGCTGATGTTGAATCTTGATCAGCGCTTTTAAATTAGAAATTCACCCCTAGGAAATAGTGATTGAGTATTTTAATCAAAGAACCAAGACAGAACATCCAATAAACCTCACAATGTTACACGCACAAACTCAAATATACATAACGTCAGAAAAAATGTAGAAAATATGGCCCTGAATCATACTCACAGCTTAAACGAGTGATGTAAACAACATGTACAGGTTATCAGGAGTAGGAATAACTGACAGGTTTATCAAGATTCTCAATTAGGAAAGTCGTGAGGAGTAATTATAAACTAGGAAAGTCGTGAGGAGTAATTATAAACTAGGAAAGTCGTGAGGAGTGATTATAAACTAGGAAATTCGTGAGGAGTAATTATAAACTAGGAAAGTCGTGAGGGGTAATTATAAACTAGGAAAGTCGTGAGGAGTAATTATAAACTAGGAAAGTCGTGAGGAGTGATTATAAACTAGGAAAGTCGTGAGGAGTGATTATAAACTAGGAAAGTCGTGAGGGGTAATTATAAACTAGGAAAGTCGTGAGGAGTAATTATAAACTAGGAAAGTCGTGAGGGGTAATTATAAACTAGGAAAGTCGTGATGGGTAATTGTCATCAGGATCACACGTCTTGTTATCGCTAATTCTAAAGAAGCACGGGATCATTATCAAAAATTTTCACTTGGCCCCTAGTTGTGTTTTTCCTATTTTGAATCTGACTTGGGGGAAATGGCTGAAAGGCAACCATCTTGGATTTTGTCTGAAATAGTTTGTTACCTCAATTTTATAGCTTATAAGATCATGTCGTATGCAGGTTTCTTTTACTCCCTAGTTGTGCCATATTTATTTTGGAACAGGTTGGCGAAGGACAAAATTGCTTCTTCATTGTATTCTGACGACTGGAGCTTTGTTATCGCATGATTCCTAGATGTGCAAATATCTGTTAAGGCATTGGTAACAAAATGGCGAACAGGTTGCCATCTTGGATTTTTGACCGTTGAAGGATCCGTGTTTATATATATAGCTTACACCTTGTGCCTCATGGCGTTCAGAGCAAATGAGATGATAGGAGAAAAACAAGATAAAACTAATAAGGAATATACCATGGTGGGCGTCATATCCCGCTGGATGTCTTGTTAACTCTCGCATATCATGATATTTACCTGATGTCCGTTCCTCGCTTTTATCTACTTAAATCATCTTTTGATGTTTGTTTTGATCTATAATTCAAACACCTCATGTAGGTTTTCGGATTTTCAGTATGTTATTGTTTAATGAACTAATCATTAACTATTTTGTTATTTACAACAGGGTCTACTTCGAGAATGGGGTCAGGAGTATATAAAGAGGTTAAGGGCTGCTCCCCTAGCCAACAAGTAGAGCTGCATTAACATACGACATCTTTCATTAACCAAAGATCAATTTTCTGGGATTACGAGATATCAGTGGGATTTTCAATTGTTCCCCGTCAAACAGGGATCAATTCGCTGGGATTAGAAACGGGATTAGAAACGAGATATCAGTGGAATTTCTTGGGTCCTTGTATACATGGATCGATATTCTGGGATTAGAACGATATGTCAGTGAAATTGTCTGCTCCCTGAAACACCAATAGAGAGAGTTGGAAATGGATCTGGATATGAATGACGAATATTTCGAATAAAAGATCAAGACAGGTTGAAATAGAATACATACAGGTTATGTGTTAACTTGTATTCTTCCACCAGGATTGATATAGATGTATATATCTGACGAGTATCCACTTTCATTCTGCCAAACCTAGTCGATATTCCGCGACATGAGATGAGGGGTTGTCACCAATATTATCAATAAAACACGGTATTTATTTATACGGGGACAACATAATTATGAAATTGTAAAGAAGCCAGGGTGACCTTTTCTATCTCGTCTCTTTGGATTACCAACTATCACATAAGGAAGTTTGAAATAATTAGAAAAAAACTTAAAATTATAATAACGTGTTCCGATATCATGGCAAAGTTTACTAAAACATCGTTTTCTCTGTTTTATATATAAGGTAAAAACTTAAATGTGTGGAGACATCTGATGGTAGTCACGTGTTGGATGTTTACATAATCAAGTTGTATAACTTGGTGGATACGTGTGGAGACATCTGATGGTAGTCACGTGTTGGATGTTTACATAATCAAGTTGTATAACTTGGTGGATACGTGTGGAGACATCTGATGGTAGTCACGTGTTGGATGTTTACATAATCAAGTTGTACAACTTGGTGGATACGTGTGGAGACATCTGATGGTAGTCACGTGTTGGATGTTTACATAATCAAGTTGTATAACTTGGTGGATACGTGTGGAGACATCTGATGGTAGTCACGTGTTGGATGTTTACATAATCAAGTTGTATAACTTGGTGGATACGTGTGGAGACATCTGATGGTAGTCACGTGTTGGATGTTTACATAATCAAGTTGTACAACGTGGAGGATACGTAGTTATGATATGCCATCTGACGTAGTTACAACTCAGTAATGAATTGTTGCTGTTCTAGCAAGTCCTGTCATTGTACATATTCATTTAATATATCTGTTATTCGGTTGATCTAAGATAACTTCTTGTAATGATGTTTTTTTTTACTTTCCTCAAGTAATTACAAACGATTGTAACGACGTGCATACAACAGTGTGGCTGTGGTGTATATTGATCAGATAGGGTTAATAAATAACAATAACTAATTGTAAACAATTAGTGTTCCTTGCCTAAAATAAGTCTTAACACTCTCTGAAAGAAATGATGGGTATAATATTGTGGCTTGTGTTGACATCTTATGTCTGGGCTCTGTCACCTACGAAGATAACTAGAAACTGATTGTGAGGGCACGCGACAACGTCCATCAAGTTAGCAACGGGGCTTGACCTTCCAAGTGGACAATATGCTGCAATAGCCTTCTAAGATTTCATTATTCTTGTCGGTGTAATCCCTTACAAGACCTGTGAGTGATATTTAGCAGAAGGAGGCCGCCTCGTCGTATCTATCGTTAATTGATACACATGAGTTGTATACGGATGTGTTAATGGCCGTCTACAAGGATACGTTTGACAGATCCAGGTAGCTTGATGTAGGAGGCGACCTACTCGGACACATTTTACCCCTTTTATGGTCTTTCCCCACCGGGCCAGCACCAACGGGAGGAAAGTATAAATTGTGATTTATCCCACGTATTTGTAGGAATTATCCATCAATAGCGACGGCTGTCCGGACATTAGATTTTCACGCTTTCTCACAACGGTGGACACCACAGACATGCCATCTTCTTACAAGCATTGCAATCTTTACCTTATTACAAGTGTATGATGTTTTAAACTAGGATTATACTCTTCAAACATATATGTTCGTGTGGCTCGAATTTTGTGGTTTTACAGAAATGTCAATTTTCGTTGGCGCTTGATTACCTCGATAAATCTTGCTCCCAGAATCTACTTGTACTACAATGTCAATTTCTGTTTATTATTTTGTGGACGTATACATTAAGAGTAACCACGCTGTCATCAAAAATAAATCCCAAAGAAAATCAAGTGTTTTATAGTAATTGATATGTCTTATATACCGGTTGAGCTTTTTTTATATGGTATGGACTTGTGTCAGATTTTAGATAGCATACTGTAAGCTGTTGACCTTAAGATTTTCTTATCCCCAATATCCACACAATGGCACAAATACGCGGGTTCATCCAACCATTGATTGTCAAATTATTAAAACGTGATTCGGGTCCACCCCATCATTGATTGTCGAATTATTAAAACGTGATCCGGGTCCACCCCATCATTGATTGTCGAATTATTAAAACGTGATCCGGGTTCATCCCATCATTGATTGTCGAATTATTAAAACGTGATCCGGGTTCATCCCATCATGATTGTCGAATTATTAAAACGTGATCCGGGTCCACCCTATCATTGAATGTCGAATTATTAAAACGTGATCCGAGTTCATCCCATCATTGATTGTCGAATTATTAAAACGTGATCCGGGTTCATCCATCATGATTGTCGAATTATAAAAACGTGATCCGGGTCCACCCCATCATTGATTGTCGAATTATTAAAACGTGATCCGGGTTCATCCCATCATGATTGTCGAATTATTAAAACGTGATCGGGGTTCATCCCATCATGATTGTCAAATTATTGAAATGATCCAGGTTCACCCCCACACATCTGGTAATCAATGATTTTATCTTTCTTTCAATTTTAGCCTTTTTGATAATCTAATCCATCATAATAAAGGCCCCTCTCATATAATTTTACTTCCTTTAGTCATATAAAGATAGTTCTATTTTCATAATACAGTGATTTATTGGAATTTGAAATATTATATCATTCTGCCGATATCTTCGCCCAATGACCAGTTATTAATTGGCCATCATATGAGTTCACGTCATTTGCGCTCTAAATTATTTTCAATCATTTCTAGTTCTATTTTCAATTCGTACACCGTCACTCCAATAAAGTGTGTCGCTCTATAACAAAAATGTCACTCCAATAAAGTGTGTCGCTCTATAACAAAAATCTATGTTTTCTGCATTAGTAGGTTTCGAAGGAGAAGTAGGCAACTGCTGATTTTGATATACGAATTTGACTGTTGAATTTGATGTACGAATTTGACTGTTGAATTTGATGTACGAATTTGACTGTTGAATTTAATGTACGAATTTGACTGTTGAATTTGATGTACGAATTTGACTGTTGAATTTGATATAAGAATTTGACTGTTGAATTTGATGTACGAATTTGACTGTTGAATTTGATGTACGAATTTGACTGTTGAATTTAATGTACGAATTTGACTGTTGAATTTGATGTACGAATTTGACTGTTGAATTTGATATAAGAATTTGACTGTTGAATTTGATGTACGAATTTGACTGTTGAATTTGATATAAGAATTTGACTGTTGAATTTGATGTACGAATTTGACTGATGATTGTGATTATCATAAAATTCCATAATAAGTGACTTTGATCTGGGATTTATCGAACATAGTAACATAGATGTTGATTCTGATTCATCCTGTCAACAGTGATACACCAGTCAGTTAAATACAACGACTTTGTCTTGACATTTCCGATCTAAGCTCATTGTTTGGAAATATCATTTCGTGACATTATTATTATTAATCAAACAAACTATCTGTGATAAATTGGAATAAATCATATCAAAATACAGGAACATGTCTTTTTGTTTTACTCCATTTCACAATGCTGTGATGATTTTCTGATCGTTTCTCATTTCATTGCCTCGCGGTTTGTTACAAAAGAAATCTATATCGGATTTCACAGAGAGTTACTCCCCTTGAAGTTCTCCTTTGTTAATAGGATAACTGTTACTTACCACTTCCTTTAAATGTTATGTAAGATTCTGTCTCCAGAGACAGTGGGGAAAAAGCTGACAAAGGAATATACTAATGATAGTTAAGTACGAATCGGAAGGGAATACAATACCGATAGAAAAAAGATCTATATAATCAATCCCTTCGTCAGGTCTTTAAACCTGTTGTTAGATCTATATAATCTCTCCCTTCGTCAGATCTTTAAACCTGTTGTTAGATCTATGCAATCTCTACCTTCGTCAGGTCTTTTGTTAGATCTATGAAATTTCTCCCTTCGTCAGGTCTTTAAACCTGTTGTTAGATCTATGAAATTTCTCCCTTCGTCAGGTCTTTAAACCTGTTGTTAGATCTATGAAATCTCTCCCTTCGTCAGGTCTTTAAACCTGTTGTTAGATCTATGAAATTTCTCCCTTCGTCAAATCAATGAACCGTGTTTCATGTTCAACGTTACTTACAGACAAAACCACTATTCTGTGTTCAGCGTTATCAACATGACCGAAAGAGACGGTTACTTACAGACAAAGCCGTCATTCTGTGTTCAGTGTTATTAATACCAGCGAAAGAGACAGTTTCTTACAGAGAAAGTCGTCCTTCCGTGTTCAGCGTTATCAACATGACCGAAAGAGACGGTTACTTACAGACAAAGCCGTCATTCTGTGTTCAGCGTTATCAACATGACCGAAAGAGACGGTTACTTACAGACAAAGCCGTCATTCTGTGTTCAGCGTTATCAACATGACCGAAAGAAACATTTACTTACAGACAAAGTCGTCCTTCCGTGCTCAGCGTTATCAACATGACCGAAAGAGACGGTTACTTACAGACAAAGCCGTCATTCTGTGTTCAGCGTTATCAACATGACCGAAAGAAACATTTACTTACAGACAAAGTCGTCCTTCCGTGTTCAGCATTATCAACATGACCGAAAGAGACATTTACTAACAGACAAAGTCGTCCTTCCGTGTTCAGCGTTATCAACATGACCGAAAGAGACAGTTACTTACAGACAAA